GGTTAATCTCTAACGATCGGTAGTGAAATTGGTCTTTTGATTTGAGGTCATCATAGTACCTTATACGAGGACAGTCATCTTTTGGTGGTGTTGGATGTTGCTCTGTCAAGGGTCGCTAATACAGCATCGTTCGTGTATGTCAAGAATCATATGAAAGTTGTGAATGATCGATAGAGAATTCGTCACTCTTAGATAGTAAGAGATTATGATCTACATTTTATCCAATTAAGTTGATAATGAAATCTTTGGCCAATGTAAACTCATAAGTCGAAAAAGAGTTTTCAATTTACATTAACTTAAAAGTGGGATAAAAGATATGATCAATAATTGAGATTGACACATATCTATATCTCATCATTGATCGGATCATATTGACGAAATGATTATAATTTCACGGTAAACGAACAAGTTTGGTTTGTCACATCACGTGACANGATAAAAGATATGATCGATAATTGAGATTGACACATATCCATATCTCATAATTGATTGGATCATATTGACGAAAGGATTATAATTTCACGGTAAACGAACAAGTTTGGTTTGTCACATCACGTGACATTTTCCATCACATGTATTATTGCCTTGACACATTGCTAGATGTCAATCTGGGACGACAAATGTGAATTAGTGATAAATTAAAAAGGGTATTTTAATTTATCGATTTTGATTAGATCAAAATAATAATTCACGTCATTAGATATCATGATCAGGAACTTAATGTGTCACACACAAAAGAGAATCAGAAGAATGTGATTTACCAATTAATTAATTGACAAGTGTTAAATAAATAATTAATTGGATTACTTATTAATCGGTCCGAATTAATTAATTGGATTAATTAATTCATGGACCGGATTTAATTAATTTGATTAATCAAATATCGGATCGAGTTAAGTTTAGAGATGGATCAAGCCCACTTGAGCTTATATTAATAAGCTGTCAGGGTTTGTAAATTGTAGAGAATTTTCATTATTCTTACTAGCACAAGAAAAGAAACATTAGCCATTATTCTTGTTCTCTGTGTGGATCACCATTGGAAGTTGGACAATCGGACAGTTTGGATTGCAGATCGTGATCATTGGAATTCGAGAATCAGTAAAGAAGTTTGCAGAATTCATCATAGGTATTATCCTCATCGTAGTTTCTATCTAAACACATTGCAGATCCTTGGTGGTAATTGAAAATTGTTTTATTT